GTTCCTTAACTGCAACCCAGTTATACCTATCCGCAGTTGGGATGCCTAACTTATGGTTAGAATCGTCTACATACGAAGTCAGGTACACTGAAAAATGGTAGGGAATAAGGGTCTAGGTTGTGTCGCAAGTGCCTTGTACGGAAGTTGCTCCTATTCAGGGCCTCTTCCTTAGCAAGACCTAATCCACGGCCTCACGGGGCTTGAATACAATCGGCCACATGATGTGCGCAGCAGATATTGGAGATCGCAAAAGAATCACGACAACATGACAAGGCCCAACGACAATACTCAGCAGCATGACAACATGCTATGACAAGCAAATGACAAATATAGGACAAGCAACATGAGTTGTACCTTTCCAGAGTCTACAGCGAACATCATACAAGACTAATAACGACAGATGCAACACTGCCTGCATATCGGCTGTCCACTCCCCAACCCTCAGTCTTACGCAACAACCCCACATCATTCAGCCCAACGAATTACCACGCACCGGGCGCTTCAAGCAGGGCTGGGCTAAAACATCATGGTAAGCTCGGCTCAGATGCTGCAATACGCAGCTTATTCCTACAGTGCTTTTGCAAAAAAAAAAAAAGAAGGTCCCAACGGTTGAAAGCCCCTGCAAAGAGTACATTTGCTTTGGGGAAAGTCCATGGAACCCTTGCGCGGGTTTCGTCCCAAGACCTTTGGGTTTAGGACTTGCGCAACCTTCAACCCTAAATCCAGGTATATTGGGGGCTTATATAGGGTAATGGAAAGGAAAATGGAAGCTACTACATGATAGGAGGGTTAGGATTACTACATGTTACTAGCATCACCTGTATAATAAGTAAACTTTGGGTGTCCTACTGTTGATATGAAAAATCCTGCATGACCTTAGTATACTGTAGTACCATAATTCCCAAGGTACAGGGTACTTAGGGTCATGCAGGATTTTTAGTATCCACCGTACCCCATGAAAAAGAGCCTTGGGTGACTCTCAACAAGGCTCCGACGCTAAGAGGGATCATGGCTGCTTTCGGCTGCTAAGCCTCAACAGGGAGGGAGAGTGGGGGGGGGTTTTTGGCTTTTGGGTTTTAAAGGGCTATGCCGAACAGAACCATGGTTGTAAGTCCCAGGGTTCAGTCATAATTATTACAGTTATTGGACATTCGGATCCAAACACATAAGTTGGGACCACATCCCTGTAGGTTTCATGCATCTCAGGACTGTGGGTGTCTTCAGGAAATTAGAGCCTGCAGGTCGACGAGAGATTTCGGGTATACGGCTTCAAAGACTTGAGGCTCAGGGGCTCAGAAAGAGCTTTAGGGTTTATAGGGGCTTCTTTTCTTAGGCCCCACCCAATGCAGAAGCAGTGGCAAGATTTGTTTATTGATGGTCAAGAAATCTTTGGAAACATGGAGGGTCTAGCCAAGGCCTTGTCAAAGAGCAGATCTTCAAAGGCCAGGCGTGGCCCTCTGTTGATGCTAAAAAAAATCCATAAAAATCCTGCATGAAGCCGGTATACTATAGAACCACAATTCCCGAGGTTTTGGTTACTCAGGGTCAAGCAGGATCTTTTTTGCATCCACGGTATTACAGCTTCATGTTCAAGGCTTGCCATCCTCTATTCTTCTGCTGTTCCCGGTGGACACATCTGCATCGAAATCGCAAACGACCCGCCAAGGCTGCGTCAATGATCACTCCGAAGAGAAGCCGACACCTACCTAAACCCCCAAAAGTAGGTAGCATAATGGCCCAAAACCCCAAAATATAGCACAAAAGGCCATTATTCTACATAATTTTGGGGTCCAGGTACCGCCTAAAATCATAGCTCCACAGAAGAAGCAGGCCGGAATTGATTCAGGGAGTGATGCACCATCATACGGGTGGTTGTCAAAATTATGGTTCCTTTTTGGATCCCTCTTATAATACGGCACCTAATATTTAAGGTACCCCCAAAGGGACCATAATTTTGACAACCACCCATATGCAACTCCTTGCATTACCCACAGGGATAACCCTGAGCTAAGAAGTTCAAGTAGGGATGAACTTACCAGCTCTACCGACTACAACCTTACAGAGATTGACACCTAAGTAACCGAAGTCCTAGAGAATATAATGCACCAGGCACCCAAGTGAGCCCAAGTGATGCAAGCAAGATTTCCTCCATCCGCCGTTATCATCCCTGCTACACTAAATTCCTAAATCCGTATCCCCAACCCTAAACCCTAAACCCTAAACCCCCTTGACCCCAACCCCTCCCCTCGTCCCTGAAATCCTGAAACATGCCTGGCCCTGCCACGATACCGCTGGAGGCCCCCCCTCCCTCTAAGCCAACAAGAACGAATTGCAGCAAGGCTTACACTTTACTTTTTAAAGTTCAGGGTTTAGGGTTTCGGGTTTAGGGTCTGGGGTTTAGTATTTAGGATTTAAGGTTTAGGAGATAGGGTTTAGTATTTGGGATTTAGGGTTTAGGATAATATAGGGTTTAGTATTGAGGGCTTAGAGTTTAGGGATTAGGGAGGGCTTTTCTCAGTGGAGGTCTGGATTGTAGTGGGTTATATAGGGGGATTTATAGGAGGTTACTGTACATAAGGAGGTTGTGTTATATACGGGTTATATAAAGGTACAGGTGGTTCTATAAGGGGTACGGAGGTAGGGTTTTTGGGGTTCAGAGTATTGGATATGGGATCCAGAATGTATAGTTTCGGAAGGAGACTTCAAGGTATAGAATCGGCCCTCTGTGAGCGCCAGGGTAGGATGGAACGCTTGATTTCGTCCTTGGGTGATACTTTATCAAGCCGAATGGAACACATACCCAAGAGAATCAAGAATACACATAATACCTACATTGGGCCCTAAAGTCTGTAAATATTAACTACATTGGGCTATGGGGATCCTCAGGGACATGCGTATGCACTGCTTGATGGTTTCTGGAAGTTGCCAACAATATTGTGAATATGAGCCATAGTGGAAACTGCCAAAAGAGGCTTATGTAGGGGATTCTATAGGGAGCTATTATAGGGGTTCTGAGAGATACCAGGAATTTAGACTATGGCTTATATAGTCTCGTTGAAGGGGCTCTGGCCGCGGACGCCTGACGGTCAGGATCCAGTCATGACATGGGTAGTTCCCAAAATTAGGGTCCATTTTGATACTCCTGAATATCAGGTGCCGTAATACAACCTATAAGCCAAAAGGAGCCCATATTTTGGAGAATAAAGGCAGCTTGAGGGGGGTGAGAGGGGAATCGAGGTTGAGGACGGGCGATGAAGATCTTCAATCCCTCTGCTACGCAGCAACAGACCCCACACGCCACCCAACCCCTTAATAATCGGTACAGAAACAGAATAACATCACTGTCATCATTTGGGGAGGGATTTAGGAACTGCGAGCAGTAGACTGGGATAAGCCCACCCTGCCTAGAGCCTACTGTCTCCTGCCAATCATACTGCCTCGAGTCCCAATATGGACCCCAAAAGACTACAACCCTTATCATGGGGATCCCCAACACGGTACCTCTATGTTTGGGGAACCCCCAGAGGTTCTTCTTTGTTGTTGGATAGGGCTTACAAATCAAGACTGGGGCTATGGCACATCCCGGCACCTTTTGCGCGCGCAAAATCTGGAAGACCGGACTAAGAATGGCACTTGAAAGCTGCCACTCCGTCCGTAGCTGTCATAGAGGGCCTCTTATGGGTGTCAAGAATATGAAGAAATCTCAAGCCTGCTTTATTGAGGTCGTCCTTTCTCAGTTGCTTGAACTATCTTGAACTGTGGTTGGCCAACATGGAATTCCATTTTGAAGGCACGGTCCCATGACATACGTTGCTGCGACTCGTTGCCAAAGAACGGTTCGACCAAGTCTCACGGAGGCCGTGGGCAAGAAAACAGGCTTGGGCAAGGTGTAGCTAGTTCCATGGAAAAGGTAGGAAAAAAGGTCGCCACTGCCTGATCATGATCCGACACGACGTATCAAGTAACTAGCTTCAATCTAACATGATCGGAATCTGTAGCTAAAGTACGGTTCTCTAGATGGTTCTCTACAGTCTCAACTTAGAGCCACTCGCCGATTGTAGCTAACTTGCCGCGCAATGCCAGGAGTGCTCACGCCCTATCCCAGCTCTGCGCATGGCGTGGCAAGCTACTTCACAGGATCTTGGCCAGGATCAGCTGCGTCTTTCAAAACCTGGGTCCCCACGTAACCTTTGGAAAACAGGGCGCCCGTCCGAGGTTGGGTGCTTATAGAACGAACCTAGGGCTCAAAAGGGAGGAAGGATACATTGGGGGACCCAGAAAACTGCTCGTATAAGATCCGATCGCCGCAGCGCCCATCAGGCAGCCTTGTTCAGGGGCTTAGGAAGCATGTCGCGAAACAAACTTGTCAATCTCACCCCTACTTATGCACTGCTTTGTACCTACTTACAACCATCGACCTCAACGCTGCCTCTAACATCAAGTTCATGGGTGAATCAGGTCTTCTCCTGCAACCTATCACCTTCCAATAGCATTCCTGAGGACCTGCATCCAATATGTCTTGCGAAGTCCCAACCCATCCCAGCCCAAAATGCTCCACCCAACATGAGTCCAACAAGATTCATAGCCCGAAGCCTCCAGCTACACTCCTGCACATCCCCATGCGACTGACTTCGGGATGAAAAAAGCGCATTGCAGAAGCCTGAATTATGACCAACATTATCCCCTCACCTATATATACTTAATATACTTGTAATATAATATACCGCCTAAATTCTAGTTCTAGGATCCCCAGTAGTCAAAGACTAAAAAAAGACTAAAAGAATCACCCTTTTTGAATATATCTCATTCTCATTAGAATCCCAAGCAGCGAAAAAAGGCTTGCTCAACACCCTTGAATTGAATAGGCCCCTAAACCCTGATCCTAAACCCCAAGTCCTGAGTCCTGAATCCTAAATCCTAAATCCCTAAATCCTAAGCCCTAACAACTGAATCCTAAACCCTAACCCCCCTGTTATTCCCCACCTGGCCTTGCAGACCGCTCACTCAGGCCCCTGGCCAGCCAACTCCTAGGCAGCTCAGCTGCAGCTGGGGTGTACCCAAGATCTCCAAGGTAAGGCTCATGGTTTGGGATTTGGGGGCTTCCCAAAATTAGGGGTACAATTCTGGAGGGTGCGTGTCAAAAGGTCTATAATATTTTGGGGTCTATATTGGGGTCCCCTATTTTGGGAAACTACCATTTAGGGTTTAGAATTTACTTTACCTCGGAGTCTTACGACTACTATCAGTCGCGCCCACGCCATGAGTCCTGGTATCGGTGTTCTGCGTCTTCAGTCTTGTTACTATCCGGTTCTGCGACGTGTTGGCTTGATGAGAGTAGCTGTAAGGTATTGCGGGCCCTAAACCCTAAACCCCATTCGTCTTTCAGGAGCCTTCACTTCTGCCTCCACAGCAAAACCCTCCGCCCATACAGCAGATAAGGGGTCCTCACAGCCCGAATTTAAGGTTTAGGGTTTAGGGTTTAGGGTTCAGGGTTTAGGGTTTAGGAGCCCTGCATCCATGCCTCAATCCTGGGTTGCTGTTTTACTGTTTGGGAATTAGAGTATCTTATCCCCAATAATGGAGAATCAAATGGACAAGAAAATGGAAGATGCAATGGAAACTGGGATTATGTAAGGCTTTATGGCGATTATAGGGAACTCGGTTTCTCGACAGCAACTTAAGCTAAGTTACCATAATGGGTATGTATATATATATATAGAGAAATTAATACGGTTTCTCCCAAATAGTAACTTACATCGAATTGCTTAACAGCAACCCAGTCTTAGACCGCTAGACCCCAATCACTAAACCCTGAACAAAAACACCCGAAACGTTGATCTCTAAAATAAAGCAAAACCCACCCCTCATCCTTCTACAGATGAAAACTGCGGTGAATTGCACAGAAGCCTGCTATACTGTTGACAGAATGGGGTTTCCCAAAATTGGCGGGTGCCATTTGGGGGGTCCCAATGGTAAGGATTATCGTGTTTGGGGGTCCATATTTTATTGGGGTCTCCCTATGTACAGAAGCTACCAGATAGGGCATCTTGCGCCAGCGCGGGGTGTCCAAGGCTTAGGCAAAGAAATTGCAGATTTGGGGTTCAGGGTTTAGGGTTCAGGGTCTAGGGTTTAGGGCAGTTCTATCCAGGCATAAGTGGTAGTTTCCATCAAAGGGGACCCGAATATGCACCCCAAAATATATTCCCCACGGGTACCCCGAATTTTGGGAAGCCCCCCAAGTTTTGCGAGGACCACGCCCTGGAACCCCAACATCCCAAATCACACACTCAATCCAAGACCCTAAACGCTGAACCCTACACGCTGGACCCTATGGGCTCTACACCCTAAAACCAAAATCCTAAACCTTAAGTCCTAAATCCTAAGCCCTAACTCCTAAACCCTGAGCCCTAAGCCCCAGACCCTAAACACTACACCTAACCCCAAAACAACACTACCCTAAGCCCCTAAACCCTAAGTCCTGGACCCTAAACCCCACACCCTTCCTGGATGTAGGTGATGTCATCCCAAGGATGGCGATAAAGCGGCTGCTTCAGCCTTGGGGGAAGCTCGGACAGTAGGCTGAATAGAAAATGTTGTTGGGATTTAGGGTTTAGGGTTTGGGGTTTAGGGTTTGGGACTAAGGGTTTAGGGTTTAGGGTTCAGGGTTTAGGGTTCACGGTTTAGGGTGTTAGGGTTCAGGGTTTAGGGATATGTCTTGAAATATCTTGAATAGGGTTAATGGTATGCATGGCGTAAATAGTGATTATGACTGAATAGTATATAGGGACAATGGCGAAGAATATGTAAGCTACCATTTAAAGTTCAGGGTTCAGGGTTTGGGGGGGGTGGGGGGGGGGGCTGCATTGGGAACAATGGAAAGAAAAAGGAAAACCACATAACGACTGAACTTATATAGGGTGCTTCAATTTCCATGAAACGATGAAACGGAGATCCCAATTTTGACCGCAGTATACTATGATCCATACTATGTAGACCTAGAAGTAAATCAGTTTTGATTCTTCCTCTTAAACCCATTCGTCTGACTGTGCGTCCTCTCATTATTCTGAGGAATTCTGGGCATGGAGCACGCAAATTAGCCCTTAGATTTGCTGGAGGATATCTTGCATCTGCTTGAGTTAACAAAAGCACTAGGCTTGGATACGTGTTTTTATGAAACGGCAAGATCTGCTGCATCAATCTTAGCAACTCTCTCCTGTTATGGACTATTCAACCCAGTGCCTGTGCTAGGGTCTGCAAGGACTCTTCTGGGTAAAAGGCAATGGCCCGCGTGACCCTGGTTACTTTCTCCTCCGCCCAAGCCATGCACCAAGTTAGGAAGTTCAGATTCCCCCCAAAACCACAAACGAAACCCTTATAGTTCTGAAGCTCTGCATCTTCAACCCCTACCCCCTGATTTAGCCAGTAGCTCACCAATCCCTGGTTGCTTGCCTTGTTGCCTTCTTTGTCGGACGCTCCCTTAAAATTAAACCCTAAACTCGGGTCCTGCTCCTACCCATTAACAGTCTATATAATAGGAGTCATATTCAGGGAGGGCTCGATATGTAGTTATATTATATAAACATTACCCAACTACCTCCTTGTTGGCTGAGACCCCGACCGCAGCTGGTCCAGGTAATGGCCGATGAAGCCAATTGATCGGCCTGCTTGACTTAGGGTTTGTGGTGTTTAGGGCTTGGGGTTTAAGGTTTTGGGCTTGGATATGAAAGTGTACATAGGGATTGAGTTGTTCAAGCTAAGTGTTCAGATGACACTACCGCTGTAGGGGTACTGGAAAAGAACATTGACACTACTACTGATGGTTCAGGGCTTAGGGATACTGACCCAAATGATGAAGAACCTAATGGGCAAGAACATGGAAAAAACACGGAAACTGGGATTATATACCGTGGCTTCTGGGTTCTAAGATTTGGGGATGAGGGTTAAAGCCTAAACCCTATGAGGTGTGGGTGGCGCAGTTCGCTTTTCGGAGGAGTGTTAGGGGCCTCATCATTCTTGTTGGGTAGCACAGGGGGCACTTAGGGTAGTGCTGTATCATGTAATCTGACTTGGATATCAAATTTATGAAGGCTCTAGACTTACAGAGGGGGAAAGTCTATGTTGCAGTCATTTAGACTTTAGACTTCTACATTCCTCTGATAGCCAGGCCCAGGCTAGATTTGTCATCTAGGCTTCCAGCTTATGGCTCTGGGCGGGCAGGAGGCATGGCCAAGCAAGAATTAAGCCAGCAGGTCTTGAGAGAGATAGCCTCAACCCTAAACAAACATGGAAGGCCATATAGCCCTGGTTTTAAGTGATAGTATAGTAGTCTCCATTTTATTTTCCATTATCTCAACATATAACCCCAATATACTATACTAGTTTCCATTCATTTGCCAGTATCCTGTAGTATAGTCTTTGTTGGGATTTGGGCTTCCATTTCTGTTTTGCGGGTACCCTGAAGCCTTCACCCCCCCCTCAACCCAAACCCTTCAGGAGCTGCATAAAAACTGCTACCGAAACTCCACACGGCCCTTGTGCCGGCGTCCGTGTTCAGCTACAGTAGGAGAAGCAGGTGAGTCATGAATATGTATCTTGAGGGTCATCCTGCGAAGTACATGATTTCTACATAGCAGAAGAGAAATGCAAACCAATGGCCCCTCAACCCAAACTCATTGACCCAAACAGTTGATGAATAGAATCCTGACTGACCCCATATATGCACCACTTTAGGAATTAGGCTTGTAATGCTACCCTTACGGCATCACTGAATTTTGTTCATCAACAGTCGCCCATGCGCAGCCTAGCACAAAGAGGCCGTTCAGGGTGCCGAAGGCCATCAGATCGTCGCACTCTTCCTACAACGAGGTGGCTGCCCCTGCTTTGAGTGACCCTGGACTGGAGTTGCCAAAGAGCAAAGATTTGGGGCTTAGGGTTTAGGAATCAGGGTCTAGGATTTAGGATCTAGAGTTTATAGGGTTTAGGATTTAGGGCTTAGAATGTAGGGTTTACAGAACTTCTGGGGATAAGGGTGACTCGGCCAATAGAACGGAGGACTGAACTTGGTATTCCCCAAGGTGTTGTAAAAAACCAAATAACATGGCTCAAAGAACCTCAAACCATTTTCCAATATTTGGTTTTCAGGGCCGGCTGAAGAGCTCTTATGTAGCCGAAACCCCTTATCGAACCCATTTCAAGATTTGGTCCTAAGGCAATGCCCAGGCGAGGTTGGTTCCTGAAATGCGGGTTTCTCAAAAAGGAGGGCCCTCAGAAACCCAATGGATGTGTTCTGACTTCTGACTGGAACCCAAAGGGTCCATGTATCCAATAATTAAGTACTTGGGGTTAGGTTAATAGGCAGTAATTATACTTCCGTGAGTACCTGGACACGTAGGGGAAGGAATTATGGGGATCCTTGTGTTGTTTTGGGAACCTTGTAAATGCAAAGGGTGGGAGTCGCAGTCCTTTGAGAACGCACCGCAGGAGCGGATCATGTCCACGAAAGACCTGGCTGGCAGCTCCAATTTGATCAATTCAGGAAAAATCCGTGTTTGAAGCTCGGGGTCTAAGGTCCAGCCCAGAGTAGGTAATGAGTGTACGTAGACTTCAGGGTCCAAAGTAGGTTGTGGGCCGACCCTTCTTGTCTAATGTAGAGCGTATCTGCATGCATGTGCTCATCCACACAGTCCAGCATCCCCCTAACACCCACAGCTTCCGCGATAGACAAATTGCTGGCTACCCGCTCTCCCGCAACTTTCCATCTCAAACGCCAAAACCTAGCCATGATTCCATACTGCCAAAACACTTGAGGATCCAATATTGACCAGTTGGAATTGTTGTGTGTACCATTCGCAGGGGGTGTTAGACGATAGCTTGGCGTCTTTGAGGAGGGTTTAAGATGTGGTAAAGCCAGAAACCCATGACGAAATGGTCAGCAGCAAATTGAGCAGAGGTCGGGACACGGCGATGCAACCATCGACGTTGAGGATGAGGTTTGCCCTCTTTCGTGTGGTGATCTGCTCCTTGGCAGAGGGTTTAGGTTTTAGGATTTACAGTGGTCGATACATGGTTTGGTCCTGCTCGCATATTTCTCATGCTTCCGCAGCATCTAATAGCTGTAGCACAAGTTTGATTATTGGGTACTTGGACCCTTAGAAGATTTATAGGTTTACTCGTAACACAAGGACTGCCTCCTTTGAGCCGGCCCATAGATAGGAAGATCCTGATTGTACAAAAGCCACATGCAGGGCCATTTCATGCAAAGATTGTTTTTCAAAGGCTTCCAGCACATTTTGGCTGCACTATACAGGGGGAGCTCCAAAAGGAGACATGTTCATGTTCTTAGCTACACAAGCACATGAGAGCGGGCACCACCACAACCCTACGGTGAGGACTTCCATGCTTTGGGTCTGGAAGAGGGAGGGTGCATTTGATATACATCCCACCCAATTCCGCTGCATCCTAATCGCGTTAGTATGGGGACTATACACTTGCAAGGCAGTCTCACTCTCTGACTTAAGTGCGCACCAGCACATGCATGTTTTCATGAAGCACAGGACTTGATGAACCGCGTTTCCAGCATCTGCTGACTTTGCCAGCATTTGCTGACTTTGTTTGTTCCGCATGTCTTTCTTCTTTCATGTTGATCTCATCCTTGTTCGCCTCGTGGCAATGCCAGGGCTGCTAGCTATCAGACAGGTTGCCATGCCGCTAGGACATTGCTGCTGCAAATGTGCGATGAAGCTGCGCAGCCTCTCATGCTAAACTACCTACGTCAAAGATCGGCGTTGCGTCCCAAATACTATCATCGGCATGGGTGTTAATTCTAAAGCCGTGATTGTTTTTTAGTTGCACCTTTAGGCCGTAGGCCAACAATCAATAGAGGCAGCGAGGTGACTCTAATCTCACATCACACGAACCATACTTGAAAGCAGTGCAGACTGCTGCGCAGAAATGCGAACCCCTCGTACCGTTATCAGGGGGTCTCTCAGACAGGGTTACCATTGGACACTTTGGGGACATGTAATGATGATAAGGAGTTTATAGTGCTCTCCGCCGAGAGGCGACTGCCAAAGCGTAGTCGAGCACGGGCGTTGCCTTAAAGTTCTTCTTGGCGAAGCCCTTGATGATCTCGACCTGAACAGCGGCTGCTCTTCTGATACCCCTCTAGGTTCCAGATAATGGTGATGTCCGCCTCGGCCCCGCAAGCAGCCTTAACAAATCCTTCAGGCGAATCTCAAGCTCTCATCTCAAACCGTCAACTACAACTCTCAGCCTCAATACCCCTGCTCCAGAACTCAATTTGCATTGCAAGTTTTTGCAGGAGTGAATATTGCTAGAGCTGTCATCCAGGAAGTTCGGGATCAACCTCTGGGAACCGTTTTGGCGCTTCTTGGTAAATATGTGCACAAGACGCGCCCAAAAAAGCAGGAGGAGCAAGGCCCCGGTTGTTGTAATCGGCTTTTAGAATAAGATCCTGAGGGTCCAAGTACCCAATAGTCAAACACCTCCCCAACACCTTTACTACAATTACTCATACCCAAATCCCAAGTACTTAATCAATTATTCGGTACATGGACCCTTAGGGGAAAGAAACAGAAAAGGCCCAAGACAGCTAGACTTCTGCTTGGAATGCTGGCTTACTCCCGCCGAACACGTCGACGTCTAATAATCCCAAGTTCTGCGCGATGTGTTTAAGTATGCCAGGAAACCCAAAGCCGAAACGCCACAGTAAGAACTGAAGATGCACGCAGCTACAACTACGATTACGATTACTACTATTAATTACTACTTATCTGACTGCTAGCATTGCAAATGCTATCATTAACAAAAGATTTCAAGCAACCAACTGCAACTGTTCAGTATCTGGATCCTGTGTATATACAAACTTGAGAACTCAGAGTCAGACTCGCTGATCGGGGTTGGCCAGCGACTTGATTCGGTGGCCAATGCCCATAATGAGCTGGTTGCTCTTCTTCATCTTCTCAATCCAATCCTGCAAGCATCTCCCTAAACCCTGAATCCCCAAACCCTAAACCCCTAAATCCTAGGCATGGCTGCCCCCGGGCTCCTAAAGCTGTGGTACCACTGGTTTTTTTGCAATAGTTTGTTAGATCCCTACGTGGCGCTGATTTTGAGAAAGTGCCGTTATTGCATTGGGAGTCGGGATCCAGGGCTGAACCTGCTCTTTCATGTTATGGCACTTGAGCCCCTGAACCCTGAACCCCTATACCCTAAACCCCTAAGCCCTATCGACTCTAGATTGTTGACAGGCAGGGATGTGGTGAGAATGCCAGACGAACCGCGATAAGGAACCACTTGGGGACCGCTGCTGGTATCAGCACATCTGTAAGGGGGGCATGCGGTGCTAGGCAGCGGGGAATTTTATTACCATGCATGGATACCTTCTTTGACTGACTACCACTTACTTATTTCTTGCGCTCCAGCCGGAGTGGGGCAGCGGATCCTGATACATATATGCATATGAACCCAAAGCAGCGGTTTACACTACATCTGTAAATCAATATATATATATACACATACATATCTATTTCTCGATGCTTATATATATATATGTATATACATCTGTAACATGTGCAGTCACACACATCTGGTCCCCAGCCTCCCTTTCTAGCAGCAAGGTAAGCCCATCCGGCCTTGGGAGCCACACCGCTTCCCTGCGCATCTGCAAACCTGGCTTCAAAGCACCGGGTCCATGGTGTAAGCTACAATCTAGGGTTTAGGGCTTAGGGTTCAACACGACGGTTGAGACCAAAAAACCTGCATGACCGTACATACCTAATACCTCAGGAACTATGGTATTCTTGTATGTTGACGGCCTGCAGGAGCTTTGGTATCAGCAGTATGGTTTGGGGCTATAGGGTTCACTGCATAGGGTCCTAGTGGGAATTTATATGCTTTCATACATATAAGGGTTTAGGAGTTTGGGATATAGGGTTTAGATCAACTTGTAGGGGACTACCTGAAGTCCACCCACTCTGTCCCCTGGAAACCCACTGTATTGACAAAAGTTCGTGTAATGCTTCCGATACTGAGGCGTCTCTGCTTCATGTGGATGTGGGGGTGCCTAAAATGAGAACTATTGTATTTTGGTGTTTATATTGGGGTCCCCTATTTTGGGAAACTACCATGTTCAAACTGCCAGTATTGCCAGTCCCCCCCTTGAACCAGAAAGGACAAGCTTAAGTAAGCATATTTCATGGACACTGACATATCCTTCTAACTTTTCCTAATTAAGAACCTGAGCCCTGTTCGTCCGAAATCAGCCCCTCATAGTACTGTTGGTGGAGGAATTCTTTCATCACTTATGTACCTAAAGTCTTGTAATTCCTTTCTCCTACGACTTAAGGGGCCTGGGGTTGCGCAAGATTACCTCCATCAACAGTATTCCTCGAAACCTTACATCCAAATGCTGCCCAGCCGCATCTTGGCCGCGTCGTCCAGGGCGCCACCGAAGCGGGGGCCGATGGTCAAAAGGCCGCTGCAAAGGGAAGACACCAGGTCTTTGCCTGACAGAGGATCAAAGGGGCTTTACATGTTATCACATATGTTCTATGGGCCGATATAGGATTGCTGCTGAGGCCTATAGGGTTTAGGGGCAAGACGTGGAGAATCGTGGAAAATGAATTGGTTCCATGATTATGCCTGGGTTTCTTTGCATGGCGGAGGTTGACCGTACCAGTAGGGGCCTAAAGAATGCAAATTCACTGTTATGGAATTAGCGGTCTATTGTGCTGCATGAATATTTTGAGGCTGACCTGGCTGGTGCACTGGTTACGTATAATGGAGAATCAAATGGACGAGAAAATGGAAAATGAAGTGGAGACTGTCATCTAAACAAGTTCTGTAGGGGTTATACTGGGATAAAAACAGGTTACGAAGGGGTTGTACTGGGATCATCAACCCTAAACAATCAACCCTAGACCCTAGGCACTAAACCATTATGAAGGGGTTGTAGGTACGGAGCTGGCCTACAGGCTTCCTGCTGGGAATCTGTCCCGCAGCTGAAACCTAAGTTCTTAGCAGGGAATATGGGAATATAGTATACAGGGAGTATATGAGACACTGTCCAAACTCCTAGTATCCCCCTTAAGAACCCTTATAATACTCCCCTATATAACCCCCTACAGAATCCCCTTTAAGGAGTTTATAAACTATAGCCTATATAGAGATTATGCTCTACTAACAACCAGTAAGTGAATGCTCTACATCTGCTTGAATCCTGAACCCTAAACGGAAACCCTGAGGTTCCAAACGGCCCAATGTAGCCATCATTTATAGACTTTTTGGCCCACTGTTGGTATCCTCTATATATACATGGAGCCCAATGTAGGTATCATCTAAAGAAACTTCGGCCCAAGACCAAGCACCCCAAACCCAAGCCCGGCCTGCGCGCGCGGTGACGATGGTGTTGTGGGCGCCGCTGACCGCCGGACCGTGGTCAGCGGTGACCATCAAAATCATCTCCACAAACTTTGTGCAGTAGGCCTTGGATAGAACAGGGCATTGGATTGAAAATGATTGAAGGTTCCATTTGATTCGAGGCTTCAGGCAAGGACCCTAGAGACATGCATAGCAGAGTTTAGGCTTGTGCACTAGGCCTCACTTGTGCATGTGGGCCATACTTTAAGTAGTACCGACTTGCCACACCAACAACCTGAATCGACGTCAATTGCCCCATGATGCTCTATGCCCAGATATGAAGATTACTTCTTGGCCCCCCGGCTTGTGGCCCATCAACCCTCCCCACTTTGGGGGCTTAAAGCTGTCTGCACGGCTGTGGGATTGGGGGCAGATGGTACCATACGGCATCATACAGCTAAGCACCTGACGGGAAGCTGGCGACGGAACCAAAGCAAGGACAGCACTCCACCGATGCCAATGTCCTGACCCGGCTGGATCGCGGCGACTGCAGAATTCCCAACTTGCTGCGCAACCTGTGCCATCGCTTCTGGGTTCCTACATAGGAGTTCTGCGTAGGGCCCAACCCTCCCAGAACGGAGCCACGTCATGCTGCTACTCTCCTGGGAGAAGACATCGGAGATGGAGACGCCGCAGTAGGTGAGCTCCTTGTGAACAAGGCAGCTTATGTGAAGGGCACACCTTCTCCTGAAAGGTAATGTGGGTCTGTTGTTAGAATGTTAAAGCACACGGTATGTCACAATTTGTTTGGACTCCCGTGCAGGCATGTCAGACTGCCATAGGCTGCCAAATTAGAGAAGCGCCGCAAGCATTTGAGTAAGGATTGGCATCTGCAGCGCACTGCAGGTAGGACAGGTGGGATGCACTTCAATCGCGGATCTGTAGCACCTGCCACGCCCTGTCTCTGGCTTTGGGTCTGAAAGGTCTAGAGCATCTATACTTATACATGTACCGAGCACGGAAGCCAATGCATCTCAGTTCTCTCTAAAAGGGATGCGCGCCTTGTACCCGGGATTTCATTCCGCTCTTGACTCTTGACTCAGATCTCAACCCACACAGCGCCTGATACATGTAGCGTCAACATAGCAAACTTACCCACCCGCCGCGGAAGAAACAGGTGAACATAAACGCACCTCCCGGTTTGGGCGGTCTATCAAATGCTAGGGAAACCGGCTGTCCTCACCACGGTCATCTGAGATGGAAGAGATGAAGTTGGCAGGCTTCCTGCACCAAGAGTCAGGGACCCCCTTGAAACCCTCATTCAGGCCTATCACCCATGCAGCATTCCATGCGCCCGAAATCTGTTGGATTCCTGAAGACCCGTGCCTCAAGAGGGCAAACCTGGGGACTAGAGGGGTGGGGAGCTTCGTCAGGGTTCAAGGGTAGCCCTGGCAGCACCTCATCTAAGTCTGACAGCTGCAGTGGTGATGTACCCTTGTCCGACGCAATCGCTGGAGCAGTCATCTGATGGTTCGTACTTCACAAGTAAACGTTTTCTTTGAGATACCAGCTGAGGCCTGCACGAATAAACCCTCCCCGGGAGAAACCCTCGCCATGAACACCTCGGCCTAGACCAAAGCGACCATCACAGCGAAACCGCAACAAGCATCTAGGCTTAGGGTTTGTGGGGTTTAGATGGGAGGGCTGGCGCGATACAAACTCTAGACTACCAACCCCGAACCGTGAATCCTTTGCTAGTTGAGATCCCCAAACATCTTCGCACGCCGCTCGCTTGCATGGTTTGTTGAGAGCTTGCATGCCCTAAATACCTCCTAAACTGCTAAACTGGACAGCTGATGTCCCTCATTCCGAAAGTATAAGTCTTGACACCCTGAATCCTGAAACCTTAATGAAGCGCAAACGCATCGCTGTGGCCTGACCATACCCAGCTTCTTGGCCCAGGTATAGTCCATGGGCACCTGTCAAATTGGCTTGAGGTTCAGGTTCAGGGTTTGAGGTTCAGAGCTTGGGGTTCAGGGTTTAGGGGACAAGGCTTAGGGATTGGGGTTACGGTTATAGGGTTTGGGGTTCAGGGTTCCGGGTTCAGGGCTCAGGCTTCAGATATGTAGCTCAGGATGCATTATGGACGGCGTCTCGAAGCTTCTGCATGCCGGTTTGAGGATCCAAGAATGGGCGATGCCCATGCAGAAACTGAAATTTCAAGTCCAGGCTGTGGGACCGTTGCAGCATAGCCAAGAGCTTCAATGTAGGTCCGTTTTGGGTTTGTTGTGGTTGTTTTGCTAGGGACTATGACATACTGCCCCCCAAAAAAAGCTACATAGCAAGGTTTGGGTATGCGTACAGGGTTCCCAAGTCATACATACCCCTTAGCCCTGAACCTTGAACCTCCAGTGCTAAACCTCAATCCTAAATACTTCAACGTCAAATCTGCACAAACCACAAACCCCAAGACCCCAAACCCTCACCCTGAACCCTTAAGAGCCCTAACCCCCAAACTCCGAAACCCTCAATCCTCACAAGCCCCTAAGCCCTAAACCCTTACACCCAAACCCCCAAAACCACTAAATCCCTAAACCACTAAATCATAAACCCTAGACCCACAAATCCCTAAACCCTAAACCCGAAATCCTTAAACCACGAAATCATAAACCCCTAAATCCCTAGACCACTACACCCTAAACCCCTAGATGCCTGAACCACTACATCATAGACCCTAAGCCCTAAACCCCCAGGGGCACCTGTGGTGTCTCTCCCTCTGGCTCCTCGACAATTTCGCCCTCCTCCACGAGGCCGGTGTACACCTCAAGGCTGCGTTTAGGGGGTTTGGGTTTATAGTCCCCCTTAACTAGATAGAATATGGCTTTGGGCATATTAAAATAAGAACCCCCATATACCCCATATTCTATCTACTTAAGGGGGACTATGGGGTTTAGGTTTTGGGTCAGGGTTTATAGGGTTCAAGCCTTTGGGTTCAGAATTGAGGGGCTTGAGTGTTGGCAGGTTTAGGGTTCAGGGTTTTGAGGCTTTGAGATTTGGGGCTGATAGAATGTGACGGGTTTACGGTTGAGGGTTGCACTTTTGGGGATTGAGGTGCTGAGGTGATGAGGCCTTAGAGATATATGTGGTGTGTAAAAAATTAGGGTACCTTTTTGGGGGTTCCCATAATAAGGACTATAGTATATTGGGGTCTATATAGATGCCCCCTTATTTACGGAAACTACCATACATCTATACTGACTTTCTTTCGAGCCGTTATGCGTTCCTCTATCGCAACTCGGATCCCTAAATAAATGCAATTTGGATGTCGCCACCTTGTGGGGAGGTTTGGGTCTGAGATTTTGAAGGCTTGGCTTTGAGAGTTGCTTCCAAGATGCCAGCACAGCTGTGTCAAGGTACCTTCACTAGAACCACTAAAGTTCTCTGGATCTCTTTACTACCACAATATCAGGTTGAGACAAGTATGTACCTAGACCCTCCTCCTAC